CACAAAAAAAAAAAAAAAAAAAAAAAGACCAGCCCAGGGAACTGTCTTAGTAGGAGTTGGAGAACTGGAAAAGCAAAAAGGGAACCCAGTAACAGCACGAACAACCACCACTCCTGAGGTTGGAGTTGCAAAGGGAAGGGCTCAGGGTTATTCGAAGGGTTCAGACAAGGGGCCTCCTAGAACTGTGACCCATCCTCCAATAATAGGGCTCTGCCCAGCTGCTGCTGATACCTTAAAGCAGCTTGGGATAAGATGTGGTTCTGGGAGTCTAGCAAAAAACTGGGAACTTAAACCAACTGCCACCACATGGATGAAGTAGAGTTGCTGAGAACTTGCTCATTGGAACAGTCCTCCCCTTCCCCACCCCCCCCTTTCCCTCTAATGCTTCCTATTGGCAGAGCCTAAGCAGCTGACAATGGAGAAGTGGTTTGCAGCGTGCTTAGTTTATAGAGGGCTGGGTTGTCACTGAGAGAAAAGAGCTTAAATATTGGCACATGGTCCAAACTTATTTTATGCCAAATAGTGAGAAATCATTTAATTTGGGGGAAAAATGTAATTCTGCTCTGCTTATGTTTTGACATCAAGCCCCTACTAGTGTACTGTGATTCAGTTCTGGCAGCAATGACCTGAGTTAGTGCAGACCCTACAAGTTAAAGGCCAGCAAGCCCACAAGACTGTCCATACTTCAGACCAACTGGCTATAAATGCAGGCTCTTCCACAACCCCCTCAGGTTCTGTAATTTGCTAGGATGGCTCACAGAACTCAGGAAAGTGCTATACTTACTATTACAGCTTTATTAAAAAGTATACAACTCAGGAACAGACACCAATGAAAAGACAGCATGAGGCCTGGGTGGCTTCCAAATGAAGTTTCCATGCCCTCTCCTCATGAAATCAGCACATCACCCTTGCAGCATATCAATGTGTTCAACCAGGAAGCTCCACTGGGGCTTCAGTGTCCAGAGTTTTTATTGGGGTTTCATCATTAGGCATGATTGGTTTCATCATTGGCAGCATGATTGAACTCAATCTCTAGTCCCCCTTTCCTCCCTGGAGGTAGGACTAGTACAAAGTCCCAGCCTTCTAATCAGATGGTCCATCCTGAGTCATCTCACCTCAACATAAATTCAGGTGTGATTCAAGTGACTCATGAAGAACAAAGCACTCCTATTACTTAGGGAATTTCAAGGATTTAGAGTCTGTCTCCCATAAACCAAGGAAAAAGACAAAATTCCTTCTTTTTCAACAGCTTGCATAATAAGGGAAAAATATGTTATTAAATACATGCCCAAGTGCATTCGACAGAACGTAGTTCTCATTCTAACTTTTAGAAGCATAGAAAATAATAGAAAATCAGTGCTAGAAAAGCCCTGAGAAGCCATTTGTCAACATGAATAAACTAGAACATTTACAAGTGAGCTCTCTTCCAGAGTTCTATTTGGAGTTTAAAAACCCATTCTTACAGAGGTAATCTTAGCTTGGCTCGGTGGCTCAGCCTGTAATCCCAGCACTTTGGGAGGCCGAGGTGAGTGATTGCCTGAGCCCGCGAGTTCGCAACCTGCCTGGGCAACTTGGCGAGACCTCATCTCTACAATACATCAAAAATTAGCCGGGAAATGGTAGCATGCGCCTGTAGTTCCAGCTACTTGGAAGGTTGACGTGGAAGGATCCCTGGAGCCCAGCAGGTCGAGGCTGCAGTAGCCGGGAGTGTGCCACTGCACTCCAGTCTGGGTGACAGAGTGAGACTCCAACTCAAAAAAAAAAAGTGATAATCCAGAAGTAATAATTGGCATTACTTGAGCTGGAAATCTGCTGTATGTCAATGTATTATTCTAGATGCTAGGAATTAGTAAGGATAACATATTTGAAAAATTGAAGAAGATGGGGAAACTGAGTCAGAAACAATATTAAAAGAGATCGTCACTGGGCATGGTGGCTCACACCTGTAATCCCAGCACTTTAGGAGGCAGAGATGAGAGGATTGCGTAAGCCCAGGGGTTCAAGACTAGCCTGGGTAGCTTGGCGAGACCTTGTCTCTACAATAAATCAAAATATTAATTGGGTGTGGTGGCACATGCCTGTGGGTCCAGCTACTTAGAAGGCTGAGGTGGAAGGATAGCCTGAACCCAGCAGGTTGAGGCTGCAGTGGCGGTGAGCATGCTCCTGCACTCCAACCTGGGCGACAGAGTGAGACTCCGACTCAAAAAATAAATAAATAAAACAAAAGAGATTGTCAGTCTTCTGTAGAATATTAAAAACATAAATAAATAGTCATTGCATTCCTAGATAAATATTCTGAGAAGAAAATGGTCTTAGAATTGTAGTGAAAAACAAGAGGCAGAAGGTATGAGGGAGGACCTAAAACCCCGGAATTATCTTTTGGAGGGTGGGCTTCTTGTAATATAGGCTTCTCCCACTAGGTTAGTGTTCTAGGAACCCATACCAGCTAGCATTGTTGTGAGAAGCTGCACTTGGTGATTCTTTCAATGTATTTGTCCGTTTCATGATAGGTGATCTACAGGCAAACCTGCCCACACTGTGCTGAATGTTCAGCGGTTTTTGTTTTTATTTTATTTTTTACCAAAAACGGCATGACCCCTGTGCCCTATCCTCCCTGATCTTGCCCCAGCAACCTTTTTTTGTTTCCCCCAGATGCAAAAGTCCTCAAAAGGAAACATTTTGCTGATGTGGAAGAGATGAAACAAAAAATGGCAAAAGCACTAAAAAGCATCAAAATTTTGAGCAGTGGAAAAACCATCTCGATAGGTGTATTGCCATCAGAGTACTTTGAAGGTGACTGAAGTTTATTTCTATTTTTAAAATTTATTTATTTTTGAGTTGAAGTCTCACTCTTGCTGCCCAGGCTGGAGTGTAGTGGCATGCTCATGGTTCACCGCGGCCTTGAGCTGCTGGGTTCAGGTGATCCTTTTGTCTCAGGCTTCCAAGTAGCTGGAACTACAGGCATATGCCACCATGTCCAGCTAATTTATTTATTTATTTATTTAGAAACGAGGTCTCGCCGAGGCTGGTCTCAAACCCATGGTCTCAGGCAATCCTCTTGACTCTGCCTCCCAGTATGTTAGGATCACTGTACCTGACGAATACACAAGTTTTTAATAAATAAATTCTGGATTTTGGGGGGGGGGCTCTTTATATATGAAGATGTTTAACATACAGTAGTTTGTAGCTGGGCAGTTGCTCAATAACTATTAAGCAAAAAATGAAAAATTTCATTCAAGACATGATTCAGTCTATAGTAATGAGTGGGTATAGGACTTAGTATAAAGTAAGCATAAAGTTAGAAAAAACAATAATGCATTTGACCCAATTACTTAGAGGTGAAAAGTTAGGGCTGTGTTTTATCATGTGATCAGCATCTAGGGTAGTAGAAACAGACTATCCAAAGTATACAGATGTGTGTGAGGTGCCTATATTTTAAAAATGCAATAAATCTAATGAAATAAACTAACAAAACTTTGCTTAGAAAACATTACAGCCTGGGCATGGTGGCTCGCGACTATAATCCTAGCACCTTGGGAGGCTGAGGCAGGAAGATCACTTGAGCCCAGGGGTTCAAGACCAGCCTGGGCAACATAGCAAGACCTCATCTCTATAATTAAAAAAAAAAAAAAAAAGAAGGCACGGTGGTGCGCACCTTTAGTCTCAGCTACTCAGGAGGCTGAAGTGGAGGTATCACCTGAGCTTAGTAGGTCAAGCTTATAGTGAGCCATGATCGTGCCACTGCTCTCCAGTCTTGGCAACAGAGTGAAACACCGACTCAAAACAAAACAAAACAAAAAGCATTACAAATCCCAAAGAAATGACTTCGTTGTTTATGAGAAAAAAAACTAATAAAATAGAGTAATTTTTAAAAGTTTGTATTTATTTGCATTTCTATTTGCATTTCTGGGTGGTTTTATTTATTCGTTTGACAACCACATATTCAGTGTCCAGTGTCAAGCACTAGCTGGACAGAGAATACAAGATGAGCCACACATGATTCCTGTATACAAGAAGTAAACAGCCTAGGAGAAAAAGATTTCGGTTGCAAACTGAAGGCATAATGCAGACTTGCCCTTCAAAGTATGGTTTGATGCATTATGGTGGTAAGTAATCTTATAAGAACGACAACTGTTAGGGACTGTTTAAAGAATTTCATGACAAGAAAATGTATATACAGCTTAATGCAAAGTAGAAGTTAGAGAAATGGAATGAAAAAATTCTATTATCATGTATATAAGTGGAAAAATTCTATCAGGTATCTAAATGTATTATTGTTAATTGTTTTCTCAGAGCAAATGTATTAAAACTGATTTTCCAGACTCTTTAGGGGACAGTGGTAAGGCTGTGGTTATATGAAACTGTGCCCCCGCTCAGTGTCTTAGTTTCCCTCCCTGTAAAACAAAAAAAAAGAGCTCACTTAGTCTCAGTTCACATGTAAGGTTGGGTCCAAAGGTGTGTGTCCTATGTAATCCCCTGAAGGAGATGATTAGGCTTAGCTGAAGCCTTTTTCTGAAACCCCAAACATTTCTAGACATATGTGATAGAAAAATAGTCAACTCATTTAAAAAAAACCTCATTGGAAGGACTGTTACTAGATTTTCTAACCATTTTTTATTCTCACTGCCCAGGTTACCCTTTCCCTACTGCGCCTCCTGTGGATCCATTTGCCAAAATCAAAGTGGATGACTGTGGAAAAACTAAGGGATGCTTTAGGTTGGTAGAACCACAAGTTGTATTACTTCAGTGCTAAGAAATTGATTTACTTGCCTGAGCCTGCTGGTTCAAGATCCGCTTGGGCAACTTGTTGAGACCTCATCTCTACAATAAATAAAAAAAAAAAAATGAGCCGGGCTTTGTAGCGTGCGCCTGTAGTTCCAGCTACTTGGAAGGCTGAGGCGGAAGGTTCGCCAGAGACCAACAGATTGAGGCTGTGGTGGCCGGGAGCGTGCCACTGCACTCCAGTCTGGGCGACAGAGTAAGACTCCAACTCAAAAAAAAAAATTGATTTACTTCTCAGGATAGTATTGAAATCGCATGCATGCCTTCTAAACTAGGGACCTGTACTCCTTTGTGACTTCAACAGGGTTATGAAGTTTTCTAAAGGTCACCCAGTTTTCATCTTTAAGGTCTTTAACTTTAGTATGTACTGGGCCCTGGGCAAGCTTCCTGGCTCTTCGATTTTGGCTGTGCTGCCCTTGGCCCAGGTGTCTCCTCCCCAACCAAGTTGTATGGAGAAGATTCACATGACACAGAATATGCCTGTGCTTATTCAGCAGGGGCTGTGGGCAGTACAGGTAATGATAGACATGTCTGATACCTAATTCCATTCCAAATAGGGATATCTGTATGGCCCTAACTATCCAGTAAGCATTTATTATTGTCACTAGCTTGTTATGTCAGGAGTAGTGAGTTCCTACATGATTATTAGCAGTATTCTATCAAGACATGATAAACTGGGGCTAGAAAAGAGTAGTGTGGATGGTGGGTCTCCCGTGTAGACGGCTCTGCTTTTTTGAAAATCTCCCTTCTCTTTGAACCCAGGTAAAGGTTTTGATGGTCACCACACAGAAAATTCTGATTTTGTTGTGCAGTGCTCAATGGCTAAAGAAAAAAATTGAATACAGGGGTTTTGAGCTTTCTTTGGATACAAGGCCATTTCTAGGGAATAAAAAAGAATCCAATAATACTATTATTGAGGAAGATGGTCAGCAATGTATAATTCTGGTGATTGGAGGATGTTTTTGAGAAGGGAAGGCGTTTTAATATTCAATTGGCTTCAGAGTGACTTGTTTTCTGGCCCATTTACTCTTAACTTTCTTTTCCCTTTTTTCACCTTTTTATGAGTTGGAGTCCTACTCTGTCACCCAGGCTGGAATTCAGTGGCATGCTCACTGCCACCACAGCCTCGACCTGCTGGCATCAGGCAATCCTTCCATCTCAGCCTTCCAAGTAGCTGGAATTACAGGCATGTGCCACCATGCCTGGCTAATTTTTTGATTTATTGTAGAGACAAAATCTTGCCAAGTTGCCCAGGCTGGTCTTGAACCCCTGGGCTCAGACAATCCTCTCGCCTCCGCCTCCCAAAGTGCTGGGATTATTGGCGTGAGCCACCATGCCTGGCCTTTTTTAAAAAAATCCCAGTTCCCTGTTGCCTTAATCTTATATGTCTTCCCAGCTGCTCAGGACATCTCTGCTGGTATAGTAGCATATTCTTGCCTTCCTCCTCAATTACCTCTTGGCACCCCGTGTCCTGTTCCTTCAGCAATACTTCCATCAGAGCTAGAATGTCCCACCCATTGCTACAATTTTCTATGATTCAGTAAATTATGTATAACATTGTATAACGTTCCTCAAACTAGGGCTTGCCAGTTCTTAAAAAAATCCACAAGTCCTCTGTAAGAAAATTTCAATTTGTGTTTTCATTTCAATGATGCTCTTTAAAAAGATGCATGTAGTTCCAGCTACTTGGACGGCAGAGGCGGAAGGATCGCCAGAGACCAGCAGGTCGAGGCTGCAGTGGCTGGGAGCGGCCACTGCACTCCAGTCTGGATGACAGAGTGAGACTCCAACTCAAAAATAAATAAATAAATAAAAAGATGCATGTCAGCATAATCTCACTATCTGGATAACCACCTTATATTACTATATGCTTTAGTGCCTGAATTTGTAAGTGTATTAGCAGCAAGTGGCCCAACAGAACAAAGGCAAATTTTATAAATAAATAATGCAATCATTCATGCTCAGTGAATACCAGATGAGGGGATTCATTTGGTGTACTGTATAAATGAGGGTTTTGCAGCAGTTCAGACAGATAAAAGTGGAGGAGAGTTGATCTACCATGCTATAGTTAGCAGTAAGAGCATGCTCGACTCAAAAGACTCTGTACAGTGCAATTGGACATTCCACATGCACATAAACAGAAATTTACTTTAAGTAAAACAATATTATCTGTTACAAAAATGCTGTGTATTTCAAAGTTCTTGGTGTTTTTAGCTTTTTTTTTTTTTTTTTTTTT